GGGTATCATCTTGTTTTAACAATAAGTGCTAAAATTGTTAGCCTGTACCAAACATCTGAGGCTAGGCTTTATTCCCCTTCCCCCGGTAATATGTATCGATTGATATCTCACTATTGAATACAATTCATGATAGTTGCTTAAGTGGGATGTTTCCCCTAGCAGCTATTGTCTGCATATTCATGAGGCCATGTAAAATCCAATTACTATTTTTAAGCTTTGCACCCAAAGATAGTGGGGGATTTTTTGCATTTAGGGTGCAGTGTGTTTATTTTATTACATCTGTCCTTTCAAAATATGGCTCTCTATATATTTTTTTTCCAATATTTTTTCAATATTTTTTATTTTTCCACCAACCAAAATGTAATATTGGTGTACATTCATCTAATCTATAGTGAGATAGAATAATTGAGGCTGTGTTATCCAATTTGTAATAATTTTTTATTATTTATTTATTTACAACAAAAGAAAACAATTGGATCGCGCTTAGTCAAAAGACATGTGCATATATCCATCATATCAAAAACCAGTCCCAAATTAGTGAACCAAGTGTTTGTACGTTTGCTCAGCTGTTTCTATATCTTTGTAAATAAATCATCTCCAAAAAAGTGCTCTACTGTGCTCGACAAATGTGCCCCACACGGACTTACACTCACCACTATCTGATGACCATATATCTTTAGAATGGTCCTTCACACTTTAAGGATATTCCCAAGAAGCCGGTTGTCTCCAGATCCTGAGCCTGTAACCATCTATCCCCAGGTTGGGCCGTATTGCTTAGCAGGACAATTACCAAAGGGTCAGTGGTCACCGAGCCCTCGCAGATGCAAAAAAATGTTTTTGATGTCACCATGTAAAAGGAAAAAAGAGGAAGAAGGGACATCCCATAGTATAAAACTGTACAGTATATTTATAGGGGGTAAATGTGTAAAACTCACTCACAAAAGAATTGCCTATGCCCAACACATGGTGTACTCAGCTTTGTTACTCCTAGATGGAAGCCGCTATACTGAGCACTCCTTGGAGTGGCGTACGCTCCACACAGCGGATGTGACGTCAGCAGAAGTTGCGTCATCAAACCACAACAGGTTTCAATACAAGATCCTCTTCAGGAAGTGCAAAATCCCCCATTTTGGTAACAGTATTTCTACCCTTCAGCCAGATGTTAATTGGATGTAACTGCCTACAACATTGCTGAGTACATTCAGTTTAACATATTTATGGGCTACAAATTAATCAGTTCTAACATTAATCAAGCTTGACCCACAAATGCAAACAAAAATAATAAATGAAAATTAAAATAATAAACTATATGAACCTTCCGTGTTACAAGCGGTATCCCCTAAAAAGGGACATATCCCAAAATAGATGGAACCCAGTCCGGTTCATAGAATGAATAATCTATAATAATACACATATAAAAAATATCTAAAAATGCTAACCCATAATGCCAGCACTAAATACAATAGAAATTTTTGCAAGAAAAAGAAATAACCTCAGTGGTAGCTCTAATTACCATAGGCTTTTTTAATTCCTTTTTAAAAATCTGTCAAAAAACATTTTAAATCTATTTCAATGTTTAACCTTTCAGATGTTAAAGTTTGGAGTTCATATATATCCACTTCCTTTAATTTTTTTAAATTTCTCTAACCATATGAGATCCCACCAATCAATCTTATCTATAACAAAAAAAAGAGAGGTATGATGGATCTTTATTATGCACCAATCTGAAATGAGTCGTGGCACTGTGTTTCTGGTATCCCTTCCAAATATTAGTGATGTGTTCACTTACTCTTTTAGTGAGTTTCCCAGTGGTCCTCCCTATATATTGGTGCCCACAGGTACATATTACCATGTAGGTGACAAATCTAGTCTGACAAGTGATAAACGGTTTTATAGTATATTGTTTAAATGTCTGGTGAGACGTAAACGTGGTAGTTTTCTTTTGGCAATTTTTTTGTCTGTCTACATGGGCCACATTTTCCACACCTGAAAGAAAAACCCTCCTGAAAGAGGGAGAGTTTTTTCTTTGGGGATTCCGGGATATTATGAACAAATTTGGTTCTTAAACCTGGGGCCCGTCTATATATAAAGGACAGTTTGTTTGGGAGTATAATTTTTAATATGGGGTCCTTACATACAATGGGCCAGTGTCTTCTAAAGCACTTTTCTAGCTCCTTATATTGTTTATTGAACCCAGTGATGAAGGCAATGTCTTTCCCCTTAATTGTTTCTTTTTCCCTCCCCTCCTGTAAATCTTCCCTATTTAGGTGACCTATTTCTTCTCTCACTTTAGTTAATTCCTCAACTTTATAGCCCTTTTCTTTAAATCTATCTATGACGATATCAGTTTGCTTGATATAATCTTCTTGCAATGAACAATTCCTCCTTATCCTTGTAAATTATCCTTTGGGGATAGATTTTCCATTTCAGATGATGGCAACTTTTCACTGGTATTTACCCATTTCTATCAGTACTTTTAAAGAATGTTTTGGACCTCAATATATCACCATGTTTAAATATGGTAAGGTCCAGGAAGTCTATAGTTTCTGGTTGAATACTAACAGTAAACTTAATTCCATAAACATTAGAATTAATATGTGAGATAAATTTATTTAAAGACTCCCTAGTTCCCTGCCATGCTACCAGGATATCATCAATATATCTCTGGTAAGCATGTAGTTCAGGCCATGCCTTTTCATAAATTTCCTCCTCTTTCCATTTATTCAGGAAAATGTTGGCCACACTAGGGGCATATTTGGCCCCCATAGATACTCCCTTAATTTGATTGTAATTATGGCCATCATACCAAAAGAAGTTGTTAGTCATTGCCAACTCGAGTCCTTTCAGAATAAATTTTCTTTTTAAGGGCCCACTTAACTGCATCACTAGCATGATGTTGCTGAATATTTTTGTATAATGATTCCACGTCTATCGTAACTATTAAACTGGGATCTCCAACCTTAAGACCAGTGATCTTTTGTATAACATATTTGCTATCCCTTAAATAGGAGGTGCTTTTACTTACTACAGGTTGGACGTACAGATCTAAATGCTCCCCCAGCCTTGCAAAAAAGGGAATCTATCTCACTAAGATGTTTACAGGATCTGGAGACAACCGGCTTCTTGGGAATATCCTTAAAGTGTGAAGGACCATTCTAGAGATAGATGGTCATCGGATAGGGGTGAGTCCACGTGGGGCACAATTGTCGAGCATAGTGAAGCACTTTTTTGGAGATAATTTATTTACCAAGATAAAGAAACAGCTGAGCACACTTACAAGCACTTGGTTTTTGCTATGTTGGATATATGCACATGTTTTTTGACTAAGCGCGGTTCAATTGTTTTCTTTATTAATTTATTGTGATTTTTGAACACAAGTAGGGACTGCTGCAAAAGGTCTATTTGTTTTGTTGATTGTGGCACATCCATTCAGCACATGAGCACTTTTTATTATTTATCTGTTACAACAAAATATATCTGCCAAGTAGGCCGTTAATCCGGAGCCGTCCAATGAAGTTGTTGGCTCTGCTATTGGAATCATCCAATCAGTGAGAGCTAGCCTCTTTTTAATCAGCCTGGATATGGCAGTCATCACTTCCTGAAGACGCCGGCAGGCGAAACGTACATCAAAGCGCGACTCCGTTACTTTCGGGTTCCAGTGATGTCACATCCGGCCCAGCGAGAGCGAGGCTTGGAACACATGTCGGCCATTTTCGGATCACATAGGCTGTACATACTGGTGGCAGTTAACAAGGCACTTGTACATGTAAGTGCATAGTTTTCTTTTATTTATTCATTACAATTAATAAATGCTGCAATTAGAACAATATAATCTATCTGGTTTATTGGAGCTGCTTGGAAACATTCCTGTAAAGGCAAGGAGAGCCTGATACAGAGTATTCATCCATTGTTGGTTCACTGGAAATCTCTTGACCATTTCCTTGTGGCTATGTTCTGCGGTATGTCGGCGACTGGGAGGAACACCTTAGGATAGCCAGAGGCTGACCTTTCTGCATACACTATCAAAATGTGTTTTTGACTGCCTTTGCCAGGGTCAAATAAGTTTGGTGAGTGAGCAATTCACCTATTCTTTCTGGCACGTGGTGAAGAGACATGGACTCATGGCTCACAGCACTGCGTCCTAAAAAAGACTGTCACTTTTTTTAATGTGGTATCATTTATTGTTATAGACATTTTGTGGGAGGTTATAAAACCACACTTATAGAGTTACTTCACTTTTTAGGGGCAGCTGTGAATCCACACTGCTGTCACAGTGTGGGCACAACATTAATTTTATTTAGCACACTAATACTAGGCGCCATAATAATACAGTTTTATTTTTGTTTACTTATTTACATATTATTGGCCAGCCTATGTTTAAATGGGCTGTTGCCCATATAGATCATTAACTTTTAGGCATCATTAGCAGGTTAAATTGTCTACACTTTCTGTATCATCCAATATGGATTTATTTGAGTACATTCATTCTAGGGATTTTGATCTCAATGAATGTTTTACAGAAAGTGGAGAATCAGATGTAGATCTGGAACAAGGCTTCAGACAAATTCAAAGAATTATGGAAAAAATAAATAAGGACCTGGTGGGACATAACTACACTTGAGAAATATATTAACCGCTAGCCTACAGGGCACTTATACCCCCTTCCTGCCCAGGCCAATTTCCAGCTTTCAGCGCTGTCGCATTTTGAATGACAATTGCGCGGTCATACAACACTGTACCCATATGAAATTTTTATCATTTTTTTTGTGACAGATAGAGCTTTCTTTTGGTGGTATTTAATCACCTCTGGGTTTTTTATTTTTTCCTTAAACAAACTAAAAACCACTGAAAATGTTTGAAAAAAAATGTTTTTTCTTAGTTTTTGTTATAAAATTTTGTAAATAAGTGATTTTTCTCCTTCACTGATGTGATCTAATGAGGCTGCAGTGGTGGGCACTGATAGGCTGCACTGATGGACACTGACAGGTGGCACTGATGGGCACTGATGAGGAGGCACTGGTAGGTGGCACTGATAGGCAGCACTGATAGGCAGCACTGATAGGCGGCACTGACTGGCACTGTTAGGCGGCACTGACACGGCACTGATAGGCGGCACTGACACGGCACTGATAGGCGGCACTGACTGGCACTGATAGGTGGCACTGACTGGCAGTGATTGTCATTGATAGGTGGCACTGATGGGTGACACTGAAAGGAAGCTCAGATGGGCACTGATATGTGGCATTGATGTGCACTGGTAGGCACTGACATGTGGCATTGATGTGGCACTGATGGGCACTGGCACGAGGCACTGGTGAGCACTGACCCAAGGCACTGATGGACACTGACAGGTGGCACTGCTGGGGCTACACTGATCATCAGGGCACACTGATCATCAGTGCCCTGATGATCAGTGTACATGTCCCCTCCGCGGAAAGCCAATTACCGGCTCTACTCTCCTCTCAAGCTGTCAGCGTTACAGCTCGAGAGGAGAGCAATGCCGATAACTGGCATTTCCCTGTTTACATGTGATCAGCTGTGATTGGACACAGCTGATCACATGACCGAGTCGACATCTTCGGCTCTTTCCGTGATCGGTGATCGCTGTGTCGCATGCGCGATGAGAATGGGAGGACGTCATATGACGTCCTCCCAGAATAAGAGAACCACCTTGCGCCCGTCATTGGACTATATGGCGGGTGGGAGGTGGTTAAAGAACAAATCACCCCAAGCAGTCTAAGATGGGATTTGGGCCCAAATGATGGCCTAGAAAATGAAAATCTATCCAAAGACTAGTTGCAGTTTTTCAAGCAGTGCGAGTTAAAGCTGATGAATTTGATTGTCCATAGGAGAAAGGTAAAAATAGGCCAATCAGATTCACAGCTGAAAGCACTGAAAGAAAAAATGCAGACACACTTAGAGAATCCTGAGTATAAAAACAAAAGTGATAGAATACAACAGCACCTCAAAAAACAGGACCTTGAGGTATCGTGGAGATATCAAAGATTATAAAGAGAATAAGATAAGTGCCAAGAGTCGGGGGCTGGGAATGTTGAGGATCCCAAGGAGGAATCCTATAAATCAATGCAAGGAAATATAGATAAGGATACTCCTGCAAAAAAACAAGAAGCCTCAGGAATTAAGGCATAACCCCCCAAAAGGGAAAAATAGTTCAAAATGTGGGGGACTACACCTAAAAAACACCCATACTCCTAGGTTTGAAATACCCACTTATAATAGATTCGACCTACTGAGGGACCCATCCCCAGAGGACTACATTGCCCCTTATCCCCAGTCTAGAGGCCCCCAATCCTTTAGGCCCTATAGAGAAAGAGGAAGGGGTAATACTAAAGGTAGGAATAGGGGACACTATCATCCACAGCAGCCAGGGGGGCAAGCAAGGGGGTGGAAAGAACCCTATCTGATCCCAAAATTTGGTCCCACTCAAAGGGGAGAATACCATCAGCCACCCAGAGCCTAAAATCATCCCTACCCCATTACATTCATCCAACCCCAGACCAAAAAGGAGGAGGGGATGTAGAGGGGGGCAAAAGAAAAAGGAAAAGACAAACTTAGAATCAGGCATCTGTAATTTAACATCTATCGAGTTTACACATGAGGAATTAGCTTTATTAAATGAGGGATTAAAGTTTGCTCCAAGCAAACATCTTGACAAATTCAAGGCATTTACTGATGTGAAAAGGTTTGCTAGAAAGCTTAATATGAAAGTTTTTCTTAGAAAATCCCCATAAAGGAAAACAGAGTGTAAGTGATGAGTGCTCACATACGGATTTAAGGATCAAGTCCACATCTAACCCCAAAACTTCTAATTAACAGTATATAGAAGTTTTTAAAAACATGTTCCAGGAAGATATATCTAATATTTCGGTAAACAGATCCAAAATTAATTCCAAGAATATATGGGAGGCAATTAAGTCCCTAGAAAGAAATAAAGACATAGTAATTAGATCTGCCGATAAGGGGGGAGGCTTAGTAATCTTATCTAAAGCACAATACGAGGAGGAAATGCAGTGGATACTACAGGATACTACCACATATAAAAAATTAAAAGGAGACCACACTAATAAATTAAAAGGTAAATTAACAAAATTAATTTAAAAGGGGAGTAAATATGGTATTCCAAATAAGAAGGAGGCGAAATATCTATTACCTAAAGTACCCAGGCTACCAGTTATATATCAGGTCCCAAAGATACACAAAAATCCAACTAACCCTCCAGGAAGACCTATAATAATAGTATATTAAGAGTCATTGACATAACAGTACAAACTTTGTTGGTCACAGTGGATATGGAATCCCTCTACACAAATATAAAACAAGCGGATGCCCTGCAGGCCACTAAATGAGCACTTCATAAATACTCCAATCTAGCACCCCCTCAGAAAAAATTAGAAGGGTTAGAGATGGCTATGACCAATAACTACTTCTGGTACAATGGAGAATTCTTCACCAAATTAAGGGAGTAGCCATTTGAGCTAGATATGCCCCAAGTGTTGCTACCATCTTCCTTAATAAATGGGAGGAAGAAGAAATGTTCCATAGAGATATACCGCAATTAAAAATGTACAGGAGATATATTGATGATATCTTCATTATTTGCAAGGGAGGACCACAGCTGCTGAAGACCTTTTTAGAGTCCATGAATGCCAATGTTTATAGTATTACATTTACTAGTAATATTTAGAGGAAGGCCATTAATTTTTTGGATCTGGAAATTTTCCGAAATGACAAAAGTCTAGACACGAGAACTTATCTTAAAGATACAGACAGAAACTGGTATATCTCCAAAAGAAGTTGTCATCACCCTAAATGACTGAGAGCAATCCCCAAGGGTCAGTTTATGAGGATAAGGAGAAATTGTGGTAGGAAGGAGGACTATAAACAGCAATCAGAGAAACTACTGAATAGATTCCTGGAGAAAGGATACAAAAGAGCAAGTTGGAACAAATAAGAGATCAGGTTGGAAATATGGATCAGGATATATTGCTGGTACCCAAACCCAAGAAAAGCTCAGGCATAGATCTAGCATTTATAACGGGCTTCAATATACAGTATAAGGAACTAGAGAAGATCATTTGTAAAAATTGTCCCATTCTTTTGAGGGACCAAACTCTGAAACAAATCCTTCCACAAAGGCCCACATTTATATATAAAAAGGCATTGGGGCTGAGGCATATCATCTCCAAGAATGTGGTGGAACCCCCAAGGAGGCCCCCCATGTTCTTGGATACCACAGGCTCCTTTAAATGTGGGAAATGTAAGGCATGCAAGACAGTGAGAGATAGGAGTAAAAGGATTGACTGCTTTACATATGGGTGTAGGATTATAACTTTTTTTTTTTTATGGTTGAACTGGATGGACTTTTGCCTTTTTTCAGCCAGGCTAACTATGTAACTATGTAACATCACATGTGACAGGAGAAACTTATGCTATCAAAAAGTCATCACGTGTGATTCGAGATACGTCACCTATTTACTCACAAGGAAACGGTCCACGTGTATTGGAGAACACATTAAAAATATCAAGAAACATTTTTGACTAAAACATAATAAAGACCCCAGTTATCTTCAATTCTGGGGAATAGATAAGGTCTCCAAACACTGGAGGGGTACAAATATGAACATATAAGTTTCCCAGATGGAAACCCAATGGATTCATAGATTAAATACGCTGGACCCAAGGGGTCTAAATCGAGATATAGATTTGAATTGTTTCTTACAGATTACTAGAAACCACCCTTATATGTTGATGGGGAATGGGCCAGAGTGGACAGGGAGGGGTATTCTCCTAGAGTTGGGGTGCCTTTGTGTTTTTCCATGGTGCCATCACTTCTTCATCAAGACCTATTCCCATCGGTATATAACCTGCCCCTTTTATACTAGGGTATCATCTTGTTTTAACAATAAGTGCTAAAATTGTTAGCCTATTCCAAACATCTGAGGCTAGGCTTTATTCCCCTTCCCCCGGTAATATGTATCGATTAATATCTCACTATTGAATACAATTCATGATAGTTGCTTAAGTGGGATGTTTCCCCTAGCAGCTATTGTCTGCATATTCATGAGGCCATGTAAAATCCCATTACTATTTTTAAGCTTTGCACCCAATGATAGTGGGGGATTTTTTGTATTTAGGGAGCAGTGTGTTTCTTTTATTACATCCGTCCTTTCAAAATATGGCTTTCTATATATTTCTTTTCCAATATTTTTTAATATTCCACCAACATTAATTTAATATTAGTGTACATTCATCTAATCTATAATGAGATAGAATAACTGAGGCTCTGTTATCCAATTTGTAATAATTTTGTTATTATTTATTTGTATTTTATTGTATTTGAATTTTAGTTTTTGTTTTTAATGTTGTTTTATATGATGTTTTGTATATTTAAAACTTTGTCTGAATTGTTTTAATATTGCTGAAAACATGCACACCTTCATGGGTAAGGTTGTTGTACAAGTATTTACGCGGCAGTATGTGCAACCTGTTACAACAAAAGATATCTGACAAGTCGGCCATTAATCTGGAGTCGTCCAATGAAGTTGTTGGCTCAGCTATTGGAGTCATCCAATCAGTGAGAGCTAGCCTCTATTTAATCAGCCCAGATATGGTGGTCCTCACTTCCTGAAGACGCCGCCAGGCAAAACTTACGTCGAAGCGTAATCCATCACTTCCAGGTTCCGGTGAAGTCACATCCGGCCCAGTGAGAGCGAGGCTTTGAACATACATCGGCCATTTTCAGATCACATAGGCTGTACATACTTGTGCTGGTTAACAAGGCACCTGTACATGTGAGTGCATAGTTTTCTTTTATTTATTCACTACGACCAATAAATGCTGCACTTAGAACGATATAATCTATCTGGTTTCTTTGAGCTGCTTGGAAACATTCCTCTAAAGGCAAGGAAAGCCTGATACAGAGTATGCATCCATTGTTGGTTCACTGGATATCTCATGACCATTTCCTTGGAGCTACGTTCTGCAGTATGTCTGCGACTGGGAAGTATACCCTAGGATAAGCCAGAGGCTGACCTTTCTGCATACACTATCAAAATGTGTTTTTGACCGCTTTAACCGGCGTCAAATAAGTTTGGTGAGTGAGCAATTCACGTATTCTTTCTGGCACGTGATGAAGAGACATGGACTCATGGACTGTCACTTTTTTTTAATGTGGTATCACGTTTATTGTTATAGACATTTTTTGGGAGGTTATAAAACCAGACTTATTGATATTGGTCTTGTCACATATAGAGATGGTTTGATTTTATGTTCTTCTGAAGCACAGCACCTACCTATTCATAATTGATATATGTATAGGTGTTACTTCACTTTTTAGGTGCAGCTGTGAATCCACACTGCTGTCACAGTGTGGGCACAACATTAATATTATTTAGAACACTAATACTAGGCGCTATAATAATACAATTTTATTTTTTTGTTCGCTGACCGCTCAGGAGGGGAGGCAGCGGACCGCTTTCCTCACTATGCATGAGACATGTCTGACTGTCATTACATTCCTCTCTGTTGGTTACTCTTAGCAACTACATGTTCTCCGCTTCACCC